GCTGAGATCTGAGGATCACAGTTCAAAGCCAGCCCGGGCAGGAGAGACCGTGAGACTCTTATCTCCAATAAACCACCAGAAAACCGGAAGTGGCGCTGTAACTCAAGTGGCAGAGCGCTCACCTTGAGCTGAAGAGCTGAGGGACAGCGCCCAGGCTCAGAGTTCAAGCCCCACGACCGACAAAAAAAAAAAAATCTCAGGGACAACGCCCAGGTGGGGAGTTCAAGCATCAGGACCACCTTCCCCCCAAGACAAATAAACAAACAGAAGATTTGAACTTGGGTCCTGGAATCCAAAACCAGCAGGTTCAAGTCCTTCGTCACATTGCCACCTGGTGGTTACTCCTGGTATTGATGATGATGAAACCCTCAAACCTGGGGAGCCCTAGGGCAGATCCTGGGACTGGTGGAAGCTCTTCCTCTTGGGGTACTCTGTGCCCTTCATCAGCTTTTCCTCAGCCGGTCCATCGTCCCCTTGGTCTTACAATCTTCTATTCCTGTCCCTACTCCTGGGAGCAGGTTCCAAATTTGGCTGTAGACTGTGTGTGTGTGGTGGGGGGGGGAGGGTCCTGGGGCTTGAACTCAGGGCCTGAGCACTGTCCCAGAGCTTTTTTGCTCAAGGCTGGTGCTCTACCACTTGAGCCACCACTCTGCTTCCCACTTTTTTGTTGTTTCATTGGAGATAAGAGTCTCCCGATCTTTCCTGCCTGGATGGTCTTTGAACCACAACCCTGAGATTTCAGCCTCCTGAGTACTGGGATTACAGACATGAGCCACTAGATACCCAGGCTCAACACCTCCTTTCCTCTGATCTCTTGGAAAATGTCAAATCAAAGGTGAAAGGGTCTGAAAAACAGAGTTTGTATATGAGTTGAAATAGAGAGATGGGGGAGAGAGAGAGAAAAAATAAACCCAAGCTGCCGTTTTTCCCACAGCCTTCAGGCTTTGAGTTATAGTTATTGGCTTACTATCTGCCTTCTTCAAGGACGGGACTTGCTTCCATT